ATAAGAAAGCTTGGTACATACACACAATGGAGTACTACGCAGCTGTAAGAAAGAAAGATCTTTTATCCTTTGAGACGACATGGAGGGATCTGGAAAGTATTATCTTAAGTGAACCAAGCCAAACAGAGAAAGACAAGTATCATATGATCTCATTTGTGGAATATAATGAACATAACAGTCTGAGGAATGGGGTAGTCCCAGAGACGTGGAACTGGGGTACAGACTATCCCCAGAAGAGGGAGTGGTGGGGGAGAGATAAACCACAGAACTTACATGCATGTGTGCATGAACAATGGACATGGACAACAAAGCTGAGGACAGGGTAGGGAAGGAGGGGGAGGAGGGTATTAGTGGGGGGGAGAAACATTTGTAATGAAAAGAAATTAATTTAAAAAAAGAAATATATATGTATTCATTTTACTTTTTATCCAATCCTAGAGATTTCCCTGCTTTTCTTTCTCACACCTCCCTAATCTATCAGCAATGGATTTCATGTAACCCATTTAGGTCGTCTGTTTCTATTTTAATGTATAAAATAATGTGCAAAACTGCCATTCTGTGGAACATTTTTGATTTGTTGAGATTTTGCTTCCCGGCAACTTCCGTCAGTTTGGCTCAAATAAACTATTTTTTTTTTTTTTACTTTTTGTAAAATTTTAATTACTTTATTTTTGTTACAGATTGACACCCTCCTCCCGTTTCCATACCTCATTTACATTTAAGGTTATTATTGATAGATATTTATTAGTAGCCGTGTTTATTTTATGCCTGTGTTCCTTTCTATTTCTTCTTCTTACTACAGTCCCTTTAGCCTTTCTTGCAGAGCTGGTTTGGTGGTGGTAAATTTCTTTACTTTTTTTTTGTCTGTGAAGTTTTTTATTATACCTTCAATTTTCAGTGATAGCCTTGCTGGATAGAGTAGTCTTAGATTCAGACCTTTGCCTTTCATTACTTTGTATACTTCATGCCACTCCCTCCTGGCCTGCAGTGTTTCTATTGAGAAATTAGCTGACAGTCTAATGGGAGCTCCCTTATAGGTAACTTTCTGTTTCTCTCTTGTTTTTTTTTTTTTTTATGAATTATTTATTTATTTATTTGTTACAGATATTTTACCTTTTTACCCCATTGGCACCTCCCTCCCCACCCCACCACCGCATGTCCCCGGCTTAGTTGTCCATGTCCATTGGTCATGCATACATGCATATAAGTTCTGTGGTTTATCTCTTCCCACCCCCCCCACCCCCTACCCCCTCTTCTGAGGGATGTCAGTCTGTGCCCTACTTCCATGTTTCTGGGTCTACTGTATTCCTCAGACTGTTATGTTCATTATATTCCGTATATAAGTGAGATCATGTGGTATTTGTCTTTTTCTGCTTGGCTTCTTTCACTTAGGATAATACTTTCCAGGTCCCTCCATGTCGTCTCAAAGGATAAGAGATCTTTCTTTCTTACCGCTGCATAGTACTCCATTGTGTATATGTACCACAGCTTTTTTATCCATTTGTCTACTGGTGGACACTTGGGCTGTTTCCAGATCTTAGCTATTGTAAATAGTGCTGTTATGAACATGGGGGTACATATATTCTTCCTGATTGGTGTTTCAGTCTTCTTAGGGTATATTCCCAGCAGTGGGATCACTGGGTCAAATGGAAGTTCTGGCTCCCTCTCCTGTGTTTAGATGAGGGAGGGAGGACCCACATTGAACACCACTGTCAAGTCTTACTTTCCTGGTTAAAGTTGCCAGCCCAGGAAAGGTACTGTTATCCTCTAGCTTTTGCCTGGAGGCTAGCAGTCTAGGTTACTTGATGAGTTTTGGGTTTTCAGTTGATTGAAAAGCTCCCTCAGGTGCTTAGCACAAGGGGATTTCCCGAGGGTGGGGCAGATGCTGGTTGTTAGTGAGCCTCAATTAGCACTTCAATGGCCCACAGGGTGGGGTTGGATCTCCGAGGGAGGGGCTGCTGCCTCTCTCAGAGCCCTGGGAAGGAGCAATGTGGCCACCGTCCTGAGTGGCTGCACTAAGCCTCCCTCTGCCGGGGCCCAAGGTGAGTGGCTGTGGCTGTTTCAGCCTCTGTCCCGGCTCTGCGCTGTGGAGCCGCCTGGGAGTGTAACTCAAGGGTGCTGCTCCCAGCTAAGGCCGCTGCTGAGCTGCAGACCGTGGGCTCCCAGCCCCCATCTCGCGCCTTCGCAAGCCTACCGGGATGGAGTCAGTGTCCCTCGTTATATGGTCCTCACAAGCTGCTTTTCTGTTGGTTTTTCCCGTCGATTTGTCTGTGTTATAGTTGTAATTCCAGTTTGGTTCTGGGAGACGGTCTGTGTAGCTTCCGTTCACTCCGCCGCCATTTTTCCTCTCCAAAAATATTTTCTGAGGCTTTGGTGGGGGAAGGGAGGTGAAGACTCTCTCTCTTGCTTTCTTTAAGATTGTTTCTCTGTCTTTAATGTTTACCATTTTAATTATGATGTGTCTAGCTCTGGGTCTTTTGGGTTCATCTTGCTTGGGACTCTCTGTGTTTCTTGGACTTGTGTGACATTTTCCTTTATCATATTAGGGAAGTTTTGTTGTCATTATTTCTTTAAACAGGTTCTCTATTCCGTTCTCCAAGTCTTCTCCTTCTGGTACCCCTATGATGCGAATGTTATGTTTCATATCGTCCCACAGCTCCCTTAAACTCTACTCCTGCTTTTAATTTTTTTCCCCAGTTGTTGCTTTATTTGGGTGTTTTTTTTCTACCTTGTCTTTTAACTCACTGATTTGGTCTTCAGCTTTTTCTAATCTACTATTGAGGCCTTCTAAGGTATTTTTCATATCAGCTATGTCTTTATTTCGACTTGATTTTTATTCATAGCTTCTACTTCTTATTTTTTTAGGCTGATGTAGTTCCCATTGAGCTCTTTATAATTATCATTAAGCTGCTAGTAGTTCTCACTAAATTGTTTGAGCATCCTTAAAATCATTGCTTTGAATTCTTTATCTGGCAAGTTGCTTGCTCCTGTTTCATATAGTTCTTTTTCTGGTGATTCCTCTTTTTCTTTCATTTGGGTGTTGTTTCTTTGTCTCACCATTTTAGCAGTCTGGTAGTTGTAGGCCTGGTGAGGGATGCTGGGATATGTAGACAAGTCAGTGTGTATTAAATAAGACTGCTGTGCTTCCCAGACTGTTTAGGTGCTTGGCACCTCTTGCCTGCTGTGGGTCCTGGGGGATTGACAACTGGTGGCTGGTATTGGTTTCTTGTGACAGGTTCTGTTGGGGTGTGTGGGTCCCGCTGGTGCCTTGCTGGGGTGCTGGGTCCAGCTGGTACACTTCTGGGGTATATTGCTGCCTGGTGGGGGTCAGTTCCTGATTAGTCACTGATGCTGCTGCTGGGGGCTGAGAATGTTCAGCTCCCAGGACTTAGCTGCTGCTGGGGGAGGGGCTCCACTCCATATCTGCTGCTGCAGTTTTTATGGGTGGATCTTGGCTGCCTGAGCCTTGCTGTTGCTTGGGCTGGGGCACTGCTCCTGATCAGCCTCTGCTGATGCTGCTAGGGATGGGTCTCAGCTGCTGATCTGCACTGCTGCTGCCTGGAGATGAATGTCTGCTCTGGAGCCTCTACTGCTGGGGGTGTGTCTTGGCTGCCAAGTCTCAGCTACTGTTGGGGGTGGGTCTCTACCCCTGCTGGGGGTGGGGCTCCACTCCTGCCACCCACTGCTGCGGTGGAGGGAGGTACTGGACTTCCAAGCTGGAGTTACTGCTGCTTGGGGTGGTGCTCCACTCTTATCAGGCTGCTGGCTCCCGGCCAGTTGAGGCTTCTGCAGCAGGCACCTTGACAGTGCCATTACTGTGTGCGGATGAGTGTTGACACAGCAGGGTCCACTGGTCTGATGGTCCAAGGCACACTGGTGGACTCAGGTCACTCAGCCCTAGCCGCTCCCCACTGCCTCCTCCCAGAGAAGACCAGGGATCTTCCAAGATGGTGGGGCCTCTGCCCTCGCAGGGAGAAGGGCCCTGACAAGCCATTTACCATGGTAGGCGGCTGTTCCTGTCCACAGCACAGGAACCCTCTGCTCCATGTTTCTGCACTGCTCGAGGTTGCACATCCACACTCATGTCCACTCACACTCTCTCTCACACTTGCTCACACTCTCACACACTCACCCTCGCTCTGGTCCTGCCCTCCCGCCATTTTTTTCCAGAGAGTCAAATAAATTCATAAACATTCTTACAGGTTTGGACATATTTCACATTGACACTTAGTAGCTTAGCACAATAAAAGATGAACTCTTAAGCAAAGTCTGTTGAAGTTTGGGATAATTTTTGGAGTAGTGTCCCAGCAATTCAGGCTTCTTCCATCTTGTGGAAACTCACTGAGTGGGGAGACCACTGCAGAAATTTGCACAAGCAATCAAATGTTTCCATCTGGAAGTGATATTGGTCACTTCTGGGCACAGTCCACTGGCCAGGACTAGTCAGATTCCACTACCCACCCCTCCCCTCACAACTACAGGAAGTTGAACGGTGGAAAACATAACCCCCATGTGCCCAGAAGAAGAGAGAAAATTCTTTGTTTTTAAATTTTAATTAATTTATTTTTGTTACCGATGTTTCTCCTTTTCCCCCCACTTATTCCCCCCTCTCCCTCCCTCCCCGCCCTGTTCCCAGCTTTGTTGTCCATGTCCATTGTTCATGCATACATGCATATAAGTTCTGTGGTTTAGAAGGGAGAAAATCCTTAGAAAACTCTACTGTGCTGTTACTGCTTTTATCTAAAATTAATTTTGGAATCTATATATAGGACATTGGAATTAGATTTTCTTTCTATATGATATAAATTCCATGAGAATAAATAATATTTGAACTTTTTGAATTTCCAAATTTCACACATGAATATTTTGCATAGTTGTTTGCTTCCCATTTCAAATTTGAAAATAAGCTCTGTAAGTGTGGCTTTATAGTCAGGTAATAAAAGTATTACAACTTAAATATAATATAACATTTATAAAACAGTGGAGACAAGGATGATTTTATTCCAAACATAAAGCATTTTATTTTCTGTAACAAAAGTTGTCCCTTGAATTTCAGGGTAATACTAGCTAGTGGCTGTGCATATGTTCTTGAACTACATTTTCTCTGGTGAAGACTCATATCTTTGTCTCTTTCTTTCTTGGGAGGTGATGTTCATCAGTGGGGCTGCTCCCCAGGTGTGATGTCAGAGTCTTATATCTTGAAAAAGAGCTTCTCTTTTTGCAAAACTGGACCACATATATCAATAAGCCATGAACATAATCTTCCTTAGCACTTATTTGTGAAACTAAATTATAACACTACATAAAACATAGCATTCTAAAGCATGCAGAATAAGGTATAAATGAAATTATACTTAATAGCCTTATATTTTTTTAAAATATGGCTCTTCAGGAAATTTTTTTTTTGGCTCTTGAAATGTATTTTTCTGTTCAACATTGACATTCAACATTTCTCTTCAAAATTAATGGTTGGTTAATTTTGTCCACAGTTGAACCAGCTATTAGATTTCTCAAGAGTCAAAACTCTCTTTGTTTTAGGATCAAATTTGTACTGCCTTGTTCCATGGAAGAAGTAGAAAAATCCTAGAAACAAAACAAAAGAGACTTAATACATGATACAGGTACTTTCTAGGTTTAACTTGAATTCTTGAAAAACCCAAGTCATGTGTGAGAACAAATATTTTTTGGCATTTGCTGTTCTAAATAATACATCTGAGGCTATTCTGTGGCAACAAAATAGAGTAAATACATCTTTATTCACTTACCATCTTTCTGGAAAACAGCATCAACTTTGCTGCCAATTCCAGGAAAGTTAGCTGCTATTAATTTGGGATAACCTGCATCCATGGATTGCTTGTCTTCATCATACCTGGTCCAGAAATAATTAAAAGTGTCATAACCATTTGTTAAACATGTAGCCTTCTCAAAATCATGACAGGGCATCCACCAACAGGAATGTAATAAGAACTTTTAATTCCATAGATCATGTGCACAATGGGTGTGGGGTGGGATGAGATGAGGCAGGATGTTGGGTAGACTATAAGATTTATAAGGTCCTTTTGAACTCCAGCATCTAAATCTAATTTCCCACCTGGTGCCACACAATGTCCTGTTAAGGTATAATGTGACTAAAGATAAGTTCTTGTTGGCTGAAGTAGCTCTCTAAAGATGAATGCCTTTTTTTAAAATTTTTTTTATGTCTTCTTTTTCAAATTCAGCCCCAAATACTCCTTGGATTCCTGGACAGGCATTGCATGATGATTATGATCTAAGTCTCTTGACTTAGATGCTGGACTGGCTATAGCCATTCATAGAAAAGGCAGCTAGCCAAGGCAATATGAGAATCATTTTTAAATGGTTCCATTTAGAACGTTCTTTCTATGTAGAGAAATCTGGTGCCCTACTTTTTTCTGCACTCAGTATTTACCTCCAGTACTTGTTAGCAACAAAGAAGTATGTTTTCCCAGTATCTTCCTCAAAAACAGCAGCATCAATTCTCTTCACACTTCTAGGGAAGCCAAAGGACCTGTAGATGTCCTTTGGGTATCCGGGAAGCATTTCCTGCCCCTGAACAGCCCAGTACTTATCACCTGCCAATCAAGAAACACTTGATGAAAACACTTACTCAAGTCACCAGTAGACAGTGAGCAGATTTCCAGCTAAGGTGGTCTAACAAGTTAGAGCAGTGTCTTGTCTACACATTAGAATTATCTAGGGAGATTATTAAAAATACCAATGTTGGTACCCTACCACAGACAAATTAAATTAGTATATTTTTAAAAAGTTTTCTAGATGATTCTAATATGCAATATCTTTGAGAATGACTAGTTTATGGGGTTGGGAGTTCTATCCAAAGCCAGATATTCAAATGACTAAAGAGTTCATGATGCCACCTCCAGGATAGTCAATTCATGGTAATTCAGGACTTCTCATACTTTAATGTACATACAAATTGCCGAGGAAGTTTGTTAAAATTCAAGAAGGTCTGGAGTGAGATCTGACAGCATGAATAGACCTTGAGTGCATTATGCTGAGTGAGACTATTTCTAACAAACTTTACAGGTGATGTCAGTGTTGTTGGTCTGAGGATCATCCTTTGATAGCAAGACTTCAGCATCCCTAGCTGGTTGCCCAGCAGGGTGTCTCTCCCTCGGAGGAGAATCATTTATATTAAAATAACTCTAGGATATCACACAACTCAAATGTTTCTGTTACATCTTCTCCACAGTATTGGTCCAACTCTATGTTTCATTTATCAGTACCCCCTGGAATGTAGAGGGTTTAAAATATATAAACAGTATTCACAGAAAACAATTTTATAAGTCTAGATTCATAAACAGGCTGGAAAGTTTATATCTTCAGTCGTATTTTTTTTTTTTTAATGACTTGGAAATGCACAAATCAATGGACTTCCATTGATTTGGTGAGATTTAGATTTTTAAAATTTCATGGAGTTAAAGGAGCTAGTACTTTCTTATATCCCAGCTAGTGAAAACTTAATTCACAAAACTATTGGAAGCATTACCTTTGAAAAACCGGACTTCATCTTTATCAACAATATCATAAGCGGCTTGAAGGCTACTTGGCAGATTTGGCCAGAAAATAGCAATGAAATTGAGCTCAGGTTCTGGGTAATGAGAATTTACACGCATGTAGAACCTGGTTTGAAAAAAAGAAAACAAGTTTTGATCTAATCTATAGCAAATTCTGGCTGACATCCAGCTCCTTCTTAGTGTTGGCACTAGTGATGTGCTGGTAAATGTTTAACATCTGGCTCTCCAAAGTGAGAGTCCAGACAAGTCCTGGTTTGCAGCATTTGCTTATTTCCAGGGTGGAAATACTCCCACTATGGCAGATTTCAAGAGATTTGCAGTAACGCACCATTGTGTAGTACTTTTACCCCACAAATACATTAGGCATAAACAAACACAAGAATGTAAATAAAGAGTAAAATGTAGCAGAATAATTATAAAGAGTTGAGTTTTATTTTTTAATCCTCATCTGAGGATATGTCTATTGATTTTAGATGGAAGGATGAAGAGGGAGAAAGAGAGAGAGAGAGAGAGAGAGAGAGAGAGAGAGACATCATGTGAGAGAGAGAAACATTGATGGGTTGCCTCTCACACATGCCCCTACCAGGGATCAAACCTACAACCTAGGTATATACCCTGACCAGGAATCGAATCCACAACCTTTTTGGTGTATGGGAGGACACTCCAACCAACTGAGTCACCAGGCCAGGGCCAAAGGGGTGAGTTTTGATTATTTTTATTACCTTTGGTTTAAATATAATTGTAAGTTGATGTAATTTTACTTTTTTTGATTTTTAGAAAGAATGGAAGGGAGAGGGAAAGAGAGAAACATTGTTCTGTTGACTCCTGCATGCCGTACACCAGGGGTCCCACCCGCAACCTGGGCATGTTTCCTGACCAGGAATCAAACCGGCAACCTTTCGGTGTATGGGACAATGCCCAGCCAACCAACTGAGCCACACCTATCAGGGCTAATTTAACTGTTAATAATGGTTGTGTTTAACAACCAGCTTGCAAAATTCTCAAAATGTAAAACTCAGCTTTGGTGAGCTTTTTGGATTCTGCGGCGGCACACCACTGGCTGGAATACACTACTAATATCCTACATTGGTGTACACTTTCAACACAAAGGGCCTTCACCTACATCATGTCCTACCTCACAAAAGCCCTGCAAAAGAAAATCACTCTTATTTTACAAATGAGAAATTTAGGTCAGGGAGGCAAAGGGAGCTGTCTAAGACTGCACAGCCGATGAGAGACAAAGGTTAATTTTAAACTCAGGTTTGGCTGGTGGTTTACAAAGTTAATTCTACAGTCTATAGGGACTCGGGAAACAGCAAAGCATAGACTATCATTTGGACTGTCAGAGTGTTTTCAATTCTAGACCACAGGAAAGACTATGGCATCGGCAGTCAGCAATCCGACTTCTAGGCCCAAGCCTGCCTCAGTCCTGCCTCTGCCTCTGTGGGACCTTGGGCAAGTCATTTGCTATTATAGTTTCTAGTCTTCCATGTCCCCAAGCCTTGGTAACGTTGTAATGATCTCAGTATTCCTGCAAATCCTAGACTTGGTCCTATTCCTTAGAGAAATCCTTCAAATACTTGCTTGGCTAGGTGTCCTGCTATCTGAGAGCCTTCTTTAAGCACTGTGCATTTCCTTGGCATTAAGCTACACTCTGCATGGTTTATATCCAGCCTTATCTTGAATCTCAAAAATAGCTGAGAAGAAGAGAAAAAGCATTACCAGTCAACACCCTGCATTCTAGGGCAGATATGATCATAATGTAATAAAACAGCACCAGCTACACTCTAAAAGGAGTGGCTGAGGAGACTCAAGTTTTTCTAAGAACCTTATTTTCTATGTGCTGTGGACAGCATCATTCAGAAAAAGACTGTATTATTATTTTGCCTGGTCCTTTAGAGAGCAGGCCTGTTCCTCACGTGTGAGGGGACCCCAGTCTTTGTGAGGCCACATGCTGCATAGGAGACCTAGGATCCTCCTCTGAGGACGGAAGCACACTGTGTTTGCTCACATCCACCCAAGAGAGGGGCCTCATGAACTCATGAGGACTCTCCCACACTGGCTCCAACCCTTCTATGGGCCTCTGGAGGCAACAGAGACCTGTCACCACTACAAGCATTGGGAGGATTATCTTTTCCACAATGGAAGGGGTCATGGAAGGTGTGATACTTAAAGGGTATCAGCATGATGGGCCATGAGAAAGACTAATTTCTCTCTTTTTTTAAAAAAAAGTTTCTTTCATTATTTTATTTTTAGAAAGAGATAGAAACATCGATGAGAAAGAACATCGACTGGCTGCCTCCTGCATGCCTCCCAGTGGGGGTTTGGCCCACAACCTGGGCATGTGCTTTGACTGGGAATTGGACCAGCTGCCTCTTGGTGCATGGGTCAGTGCTCAACCACTGAGCCACACTGGTCGGGCTTGATTTTTCTTAATAAAGCACTAATATACTCATCATCATAAAGAATGCCATAAATGAAGAGCTTTGGAGTAGGAGTCAGAAGACCAATTAATTATAGTTCTGTCACCAGTGAACTCTGTGCCCTCAGAGGGTCTCTTTCCTTTTCTCTGCCTTACTCTACTGACCTGTAAAATTGGATTATATTTACTGACTCTCCGCTTCAATGGTATTTCTTTCCTGAGTATCAAATGTCAGAGTGCATGTGGAAAAACAAAGTTGTTACATGTTTGTTAGGTTTTGCCAATGCAAGCAAATGCTATCATATAATTACACATGTAAACAAATGTAAGATAAGTAATGTTTGAAGCATAGTAGTAGTCCATATGGATTCATAGTAGTGAGTGTTGTTATTATCACACATATCAAACGAGAAGAATTGATATCTTACCTGTCTTTGAAGAACATCACATCTCCCCGAACCATAGTTATAGCATCAAATGTTAGCTTACTATCACACACTTGTGGGGTTTGTGGGCCCTTTGGCTTGGTGGGGTTTGTGGAGGGTCCTAAAGAAAAAATAAGATCTGGAGTTAGTGCTGCCTGGCTGGAGAAAACGACGTAAACAATGAAAGATAGCTTCTTAAAAGATATAGCGCATGGCTCTAATGGCCTCTTGTCTGGGATATTTTTCTTTGTACTCACCATATATGGTCTGGATACCATTGATGTCATCCTGAGAGAGCAGAACATCACCACTGTGGAAGTAGTGGGGGTACATCAAAGCCCCAATATCATTAGAATGAGACAGTCCAAGGGAATGGCCCAATTCATGAGCAGCAACACGATACAAGTTGTAATCTAAAAGGGCCGATAAACCCATTTGCAGTTACTTGAAGTGTTTCCAGTTTTATGATATTTAATGAAGAAGTAATCTACAACTCTATAAGAACTAATGCTCATATTTTCTTCTGGGCTTTTAAAAAGATATATAACACATTTTTCCTAAGGTGAGAGGAATGCATTTATTAATAGTAAATAGCTTGATTAAAGCCTATGATTATACTGATACAATGAAAAAGCAAAACTCAGTAGACTGAGGGTCTAGCACAGATTCATCAGTCTTTTCAATAATTAGACGATGCATATTATTTCACAGAGAAGCACTAGGTTTCTATGAACACAAATTGTTTTTCCTATTTACAAAACTGATACATGCTCAAGGATGGAAATTTGTAAAACATGTACAGCTTCTCCTCCCTTAATTTTTACATACTCTTACAACTAATATTACATTGTGGTGTGTCTTCTAGTAAAAAGAAGTTTTTTTGGAAATGCCCTCAAGTAAACCACTAGGATTTTCAACAATTTTCTTAATAGAGATTTTAGTGTGGCCTACTTGTAGACAATAAGATGTTGTTACTAACAGAAATAATCTTTTTTTCACACTTTTCTAAATGTATTATGATTTTTCTAAATGGTAGTCAAAAATATATACTTGCATTAATGCATTGTTACCGTTAAATCAACCAACTATTACATGAATCACAGGGGTGGGGAGACTGAAAAGGGCAAGATTAGATGTTTTACTTCTGAAATCTCTGGTCCATGTTTCATCCTCATCAAAATGAACATCCCCTCCAATCAATGGGCCTGGTTGAAAAGCATGAGCAAGTTGTCCTTCGGGTCCATCAAAGTCAGAGTTGTCATGATGATCTGCAAGAAACAGAATTCAACAAATGTTCCCCTTGTTTCTTATTTAGGGTAACACAGGAGAGCAAGCCTTAGCTTTGCTACGGGGCCAACAGACTTTCATACAATGTCATATTGTTTCCTTCCTTAAGCCCATAAAATCAATATTCCTCTTGAATGAGGAATTCTGGCTGCGAAGTGAAAGAGGTTTGGGGGCCAGGTGAAGTTAAGGTGAGAATGCTTTCACGCAACAAGAAGAGCTTACTTCTCCTGACGAAAGACAGCATTATGTCTGCTTGGCCCTCAGAGACCTGGGAGAAGGTCAGGGGTGAGACAGCACTCCAGAGTTGAAAGGCTTTCTGAATGGCATTGTTCACATCTTCTCTCGGCAAATCTGGTGTGTAATTTTCAATCCTAAAAATGAAGTAAAACAGAGACAAATAGGACCTCATTTCTTACAGCTCTGATGGGAATTCGCCTCTCAGTCTGGCACTCAGCCTGGTTACCTATAGGTCAGGTGTGTGTGCTCCCACCGAGGGTTTCCCTCAGTGAGGGCATACCGAACCACGTCAGGCACCCCGCATCTGGCCTGCTTCATCATATTCAGGGTTTCAGCATCTGGCTTCCCAGTCACTTTCAGCCCAAAGAACTCTTGCATTTGCTTCAGTTTTTCAACCATGGGGCCACTCTTTCTCTTCCTTTCAATTTGTTCCCCATCAGTCCTCAGGTTGTAGTAGCTTTCCAGGTATTTCTGGTGAAAGATATTATTGTAACACTGGATGGGAAATCTTTCTCATTTTTCTAAAGACTGACAGTATGACTTTCTAGTAAAACAGAGAACTACTTTTAAAGATTGTATTTAGATTTCATGGTCCTTAGTATCCTTATCATTGATGGAAACTGTAAATTCAGAGAAATTGCCCCACCGTTAGTTGCTATAAAGCCAATTCCAATTTGCACATCACTCCTTTGATTCCCCCTCACCGCCAGCTAGAAAAGGAGCTTCTCTGCAAGGCTCGATACATTTCAGGGAGGGTGAACTTTCTAACAAAAATGTCTCTTTGTAGAAAATTCCATCAAATAAACTTCACGATACCAACTACTACTACTCTGTTCTACTGTGAAAAAAATGCAAATGAAGGCTTTTCCATTTCTGGCATTGAAATTTAGCATTTACCTGGACCATCTTCTCATCATCCTCTTGCATTCTGGAAGTGGCTGCTGGGAGGCCGTTAGACCCCACGGCCCAGAGGAGTAGCAGCAGAGGAAGGCTGTGCATGCTGGTGTCTGAGGTCTTCCTTCTCAGCTGAAGAGATCTACTGACCCCCCACCTGCTTGCTACTCCAATATCTCAGCTAGAAAGCTCCCTCTTTATATATACAGTCCTTGCTCTTCCAGAAAGCCGGAAGTGGTCTGACTCACGTTTCATAACATCCTCTTGATTAGCAGTGAATAGCCTGAGCAATCATCAGACATGATGACTCCAAGTAGATTATTTGGGTTCGCTTGGTGTTGCAATCTTATGAATAACACCAAACAGGACATGTCTGAAGGAGACACACTAACCCATGTAAACAGTTGTTTTCTGTAATTTGTTTCTATCCTATTTCAGAAAGGCCTTGTTATGTAGGACACAAATCACAGAGTACCCCATGACCTCTTAAAACAGGCTTTGCTACTTGATTCTGCTTGTTGTAAAGTGATCTTGATTGTACACACACACACCTTGCTTCCAGGGCAGAGGGCAGGATTGCTGATGTCATGTGCTCTATGCCTGTTCAGCACCTGAAGCAACTGACATTTATTTAGCTCCACAGGCATTCACTTTGGATGATTTTCCTGGGGTCCACAAGGGTCCCTGCTAAGATGCCTGGTACAATATTTGCACAGCACTTTGGTTTCCCTTAATCTTTATTCAGGCCAGGATTTGAGAACCCTGGCTGAGAAGACTCTAGTTCATAAGAGAAGTATGAGATAACTCTCTGTCCTGTGTAGACCTTGACCACAGCATCATGGGAAAAGTAGGATCCTTCTCCCAAACCTGTCAGAATGTACCAGGCGGGGCAGGGGCTGGCAAAAGCTCAAGTGTGAGTCTGGGGTCTTATTTTTAATCATCCTTGTTTCCCTGCATGTAAGCACCTCTTTGCTCCTTGGGGTTAAGCAGCAATTATTTATTCTTTCATGTATGCATTCATTCATGTATTTATGCATTCATTCATTCGAATGATCTTATTCGAATGATCTTATTCGAATGATCTTCTGTGCAGCAATTACTGGGGGAGAGGCTAATAAATAAACAGACATTTTATGGGACAACTTAAGGTGGCTATAATGGACATCTGTATAAAGTTGCACAGGTTAGTTTTACAAAAAATTGCTGAGAAAAGAGAGACACTGTAGCTCATTCGGTTTTAAGTTTCTTCCTACTTCAATCATAATTTTTGCCAAATCTTTGCCAATACTAGTGCCACCTCTGGTATTATTATTTTATTTTTATTTATTTATTTATTTTTAATCCTCACCCGAGGACATTTTTCCATATTTTGTTCAGATAGAGTCGGAGGGAGGGAGTGAGGAGAGAGAGAGAGAGAGTGAGAGAGAGAGAGAGAGAGAGAGAAACATCGACGTGAAAGGGACACATCGAGTGGTTGCCACCCACACGACCCAACCAGGGCCAGGGACAAACTGCAACAGAGGTACATGCCTTTAGCGGGAACCGAACCCGGGTCTCTCTGGACTGCAGGCCGACGCTCTAACCGCTGAGCCAAACTGGCCAGGACTCTGGTATTATTTTTGTAGTTTTCTTTTAACTTACTTGAAAAGTTTTGCCTTTTTATATGCTATCATATCTATAAAATCATAGTTAAATAAACTATTCTTTTTGAATTCACATTAAAATAAACACATGAGTATATTATGAAAAATGTGCATTCATGTATCCATGTTTCGCATCCAATTGTCTTGGTGGTATCCTTTCCACTCTTGGAGAAAAAAGTTGATCTAAATTAGTAGCTTCCTGTATTCATGTCCCACGCTCCTTCCTTGAAACTTTTTTTTTAAATATATTTTTATTGATTTTTTAGAGAGAGAGAGAGAGAGAGGAAGGGAGAGAGAGAAAGACAGAAACATCGATGTGAGAGAGAAACATCAACTGGCTGCCTCCTGCATGCCACTTACTGGGCATTGAGCCTCCAACCTGGGCATGTGCTCTGACCGGGAATTGAATGGGGACCTCTCAGTCCATGGGATGATGCTCAATCCACTGAGCCACACCACCTGGGCCTTCCTTGAAAATGTTTAAATGAGACATAAAGTTGAGAAACACTTGCCTACCCTTCTTTCTTGCGGTGTCTCCCTCCCTTCCCACATGTCTTTCGCAGGACTTCTGTTTTCCTCCCTACCCTGATAACATCATATGCACATGTTATGTCAATATGTGTTGAACTGATATAAAAGAACTTATTTCTTCATTTGACCACAACTTCCTCATCTAAGTGGAGTAATATGCAAGTTCAAAAGTGTAGAAGATCTTAGAAGGTCTCACAAAAATGAAATCCTCCCCTTCTCAGGGACACCAGATAGTGGGTGGGGCAGCGATCAAAGAGCGCTAGCAACTGACGTGACTGCAGCCCAGGAAACGCAGTGGCAAGAGCTCTTTGCATAGACCTTGAACACAGACTGTTTCACAGTCAAGGAGTGGCTGACACACCCCGGCTATGAGGAATCTGGTCAGTGTGACGAGTTTCCCCCCAGCTCTGGGGCCTGGAAAACACGAATTACCTCAAGAGAACAGTGTTGTGACCATCTGAACTGGGCAAGAAATTACATAAGACATCATTCTGGAAGAGTCTCATAAAATGTGTAATCTGGCAAAAGTCTATATAGCCTACAGTTTAGAAGTTCTCAAACTAGTATACCCTTTTTTTTAAAACCCCCTTTAGAAAACCAGTTTGTAAACCTGATGAAAGAAGAAGTGGGAAATAATCCCTGGGAGTCCCACCTGTGTTACTCCCACCTTGTTCCCTGACCCCTTTCTCTAGCAAAGTCCCCAATTTCTGTGGAACAATAAGGTTTCAGTGGTGAGAAGCTCAAAGCCATGGCTCTGGTCCAGCACCTTGATTTTCCAGATGATGAAACTAAGGAACTGAGGAGTTCCAGGTCCAGGTCACTCCTCTGAGGGGAAGGGAGGGCACGGTGGGGGACACTGTGGATGGAACTTGGACTAACACCACCTTCTCTTGGCTCCGGTCCTGAGCTCTTGAGCTAAAAGCTCTATGCGCTTGCTCACAACTTCAAAGATACTGACATGGATTGGAAACTGGTCACTTAAAACAGCTTTTTGTTAAATTTCTTCCTAAAATAACACAGATTTTTATTTATTTATTTATTTATTTATTTATTTATTTATTGTACAGATAGAGTGGGAGGGAGGGAGAGGAAGAGAGAGAGAGAGAAACATCGAAGTGAAAGGGACATATTGAGTGGCTGCCACCCACACGACCAACCAGGGCCGGGGACAAACTGCAACCGAGGCACATGCCCTTAGCGGAAACGGAACCCGGGTCTCTCTGGACCGAGGGCCGATGCTCTAACCGCTGAGCCAAACCGGCCAGGGCCTAAAATAACACAGATTTTTAAATTAAGGTTTGGCTAAGCAGCAGGCTTCAAAGTTTCCCAGCATCCCGAATCTTGAAATCTCCAGTTAGGCATTCATAGCAGAACACCCACACCTTCTGGGCTAGTGCAAGTGCGCCATGTATTTGAGTGTAGAAAAGAAAACATAAACGTCTAGAACAAAGAGTTAGAGATTAAATCCTACCCAAATCTTAATAATGCCTGGATGTGGCACATTTTCCAGGAAGCTCAATGCCTGTTGAAATTGTGTTGCTCTTTACATCCAGATTTTTTCCCCCCTCTAGGAGTTCCTTTCTTCTCCATAATCCCACTTTGGATTTATTTTTTTGTGGAAATTATTCCTGTATCCTTTATCTCCTGGGAGAATGACAGGTTTAAGAAACGCATGGTTGTGGCCATGACAACTAACTCCTGACTGTCTCCAGACAGGCAAAATATTTCCTTTCTGGGCTATCTTAGTTGCTTCACACTGCCGGCTCTGTGAAAAGTCTCAAATGTGTTTGTATTTTTTCCATATTAAATTCAATTTTGGAATTTCAATTTTGTTTCATATTTTTCTAATGCTTGGAAAGTCAACGTTTTAAATTTTATAATTCAATTTGAGTGTGAGATATATTTTTTATGTCTTTGATCCTGTAAGTCTTGAAATAGTCTTTAGCCAAAATGTTTTAATATTTAATGCTGTTTTGTTTTGGGAGTAACTCGAGGGAAAGATGTGTCCCACCCTATGTGTTCTCTCTCCCTATGGCCATATGGTAGTTTATGGACAGCCACTGTTTACCACTAAACATGCTTTATACCTCCTGGCTACCTCAGTCCTCATGATTACCCTCCAGGTAGAAATGCTTGACGCATCAACCTCCAGTGACAGGTGTCTGTGTGACTCCAGTCCACCTCACTGCAGTCTTCATGGTGCTCCTGTCACTACATATGAAGCACATATACTGGATGTAGAAGTTTAGGAGTTTTGCCCCCTCTCAAAAATATAGAAAATGTCAGACACTAGGCTGGTTACATTAGTTTTGTCATGTTTACATTTTTTCCATGACAACACCCTGTTGCTCAGGACTGAAAGAATCTTTAAACTACTGATCTATCGCCTTTATTTCTTTTACCAAAATTCATGAAATTGCAGTTGATAGTTACCTCAACTGGGGAGGTGTTTACAAATGATTGTTGAATAAAGGAATGAGTGAATAAATCAATACATAAATAGATACTAAACAATACAATAAAAGGGCCATTTCTCATTAGGTTCCATTGCCTCCAAAAAGTCTTATGCCCTTGGTTGGATTTTAATATCTTTTACCTACTCTCCTAAGATGAAAATACCATAGAAAAAAATTGAATATGTCCACTGAGTGGCGATTTTGAACGAAGCACTGAACATTTACTTTTGACTACTTGCCTGCCATGATGTAACCATTTACTCTTTGATTATTTTGGGCATTTTATTGATTTGTTTGCCAATATTATTTCCCCACCTGGATATTTATTAGACACTCTGGACAATGCTTATAGGGAGCACATCCTTGATAGCAGCCAGCAGATGTTTGCAGCTGTGGCTCTTTAGGGAAATTCAAACCAAGGGCCCTGGTGGAGGGAAGGGCTCGTGTACCATGGCTCAGCTCGGCCATGTTGCAGCCCTTATCTCTCAGCCCTCATGTCTGTGCATATAGATTTGAGATATGTGAGGAAGCTC